CTGTCTGTCTATCTATCTATCTATCTATCTATCTATCTATCTATCTATCTATCTATCTATCTATCTATCTATCTATCTATCAGGCTGGCTGCCTGGCTGCCTGGCTGGCTATTATCAGTCATCTCCTCTCCCTCTCTTCCTTCTTTCTGTGAATTTGAGACAATCAATTTAAAAATATTCCCAAAGTATATTTAAAATACACACTCTAATTCATTTTAATTTAGATTTTTTTAAAGAAAAAAAAGGCAGAAATGGACCCAACATGGCAGGTCAGCTTTTGCTCCAAATGATGAAAGTGTTGTGCGGTTGCATGGTACCATGGCAACACTGGTGTTCAAGGCAACAATGATGATTGCAAAGGGACTTATTTATTTATCGCTACTGTGCTGTGTAGGCAGAAGCTACACTCTTCTGGGGGAAAAAATAGGACTTCTGGATATTTAAGGGCCAGTTCAAGTGCAACATGGGGAAGAGGCAGTGTGGAAAAAACAAAATATCCCATAACTTCTCAGCATGAGGCCAAGGGAAAAAAGCACTCCAATTGGTTCTATGCATAGAGTAGAATATGGTATAAGGACAACAGTTTTCTGTGATACTAGAAAGGACATCATTTGAGATTACATAAGGGATTATATTGAAGGGACACAGTGGCTCAGAGGCTAAGAAGAGGCTCAGAAAGGACAGCAGTTCAACAGTTTGAATCCCTAGTGGAGCGTAATGGGGTGAGCTCCCGTTATTTGTCCCAGCTTCTGCCAACCTAGCAGTTCAAAAGCATGTAAAAAATGCAAGTAGAAAAATAGGGACCACTTTTGTGGGAAGGTCACAGCATTCTGTGCGCCTTTGACATTTAGTCATGCCAGCAGTATGACCACAGAGATGTCTTCAGACAGTGCTGGCTCTTCGGCTTTGAAACAGAGATGAGCACCGCCCCCTAGAGTCAGGAACAACTAGCATATACGTGCAAGGAGAACCTTTACCTTTTAAGAGATTGCAGGACCCAACAACAACAAAAAATTCTGGGAGTTGGAGTCCCCATATCTTAAAGTTGCTGAGGTTAGTAAACACTGTTCTATACTAAGACAATAAACCAGTGGAAGAATTTTATGAATTGCCAATATATGATGTGAAGAGAAAAGAAATCAACTTTAATACTTCGCTAGCCGACTGAAAGAAAACAACCATTAACCTAACACTGATCCATTATATAGGATGAGTTTGCTGCTAAATAGGGAAATCAGTTGCAATATAAATTCTACTTTTGGATTTTACAGAAGCTGTGGCTTTTGAAAAGAGTATTAACGCTGTTTCCTCTTCTTCCTTCTTTGTTCTTTGATTTCTTCTGATTTCTTTCTCTTTTGATTCCCCCCCTTCTCTTAGATTGCCTGCTCTTTTTCCTCCTTCCATTGTCAGACATATTCAGAGTTCTTTTGTCTACTTTTAATTTATGTCTCTTTCCACTTAGCCATTTGGGCATCCCTGTGAGGTGCTGTTTGGATATTCTGTCTCAAGCGCCAGAAACACCTCTGTCTATTTTTTTGCCTTAGTCAGAGAGAAGGATATTTTTCTTCTTTTGTCCGTGGAGCTGCTCCTGTGCTTTTAATAATAGCTTAATGCATCCAGATTCAGTAAGCACAGCTGTGATGAGGCAATGGTTCCTGTCAGAGAAACAAAGATGACAAATATAGACTTTTCTATTTTGGTACAATACTCTAAAGCAAGCCACATAATTTTCTGCTCAAAATGAGCCTTTTTAAAGAGCTAGTTGTATTTATGCACTCTTTTTCTTTTTTTTCTTTTTGTATAAAAATGAGGCAGATTGTCTAGTAGTGACTTACTGGAACAGTGATGGCTAACCTTTTTCCAAAGTTGTGCCAAAATTGCGTGCGAGCTATCGCATTCACCAGAGCTAAGTTCCGGCAGCTGCTACTACTGGTTTGTTTAGGGACACGCTTGATACATTCCACGTGCGCATGCGCAGAACTTTAAAAAAACAAGATGGTGTGCCTACGGCGACGCCAAGAGAATCAGTTCAGGGGCATGGCAGGCCAAGTTACTACCTATTTGGCTGAACTGGTCTGAACTGGTAGGAACCCACCTCCAGTGTGTACTCATGCCCACTCATCTGTGCATGCACTCATGGCCACTATCACCACCACCACCCGCATGTATGCACATGCCTCCTGCGTGGGGGAGAGTTTTCACCCTCCCCAGTTTGTTCGTGAACTTTCAGTTGACTCGTCGAGCCTGTTTTTCGCCCTCCAGAGGCTTTCCTGAAGCCTGGGGAGGGTGAAAATGGCCTCCCCCAGCCCTCTGGGAGGCTGAAAAACAGCTGGCCGGTCTGCCATGCCAGCTAATATGGCTCTCTGTGCCACTTGTGGCATGCGTGCCATAGGTTCACCATCACAGTACTAGAAGATAAAATGCCGGGTTTTATTACTAATACAAACTGAGAGTGAGGAAGAATAAAGGTATATGAAGGATGGATCAACTGTGTAACTGATGCTTTCAGAAAAGAAAAGAGAAAATACCCGCATGACATTATTTTTTGTGTGTTTGTGTATGTGTGTTTCTCTTTGGTCTTCAGGATGATCTTCAGCCTGTTGCATCTGAAACCAATTGGGAATCAGTCACAAGCCCGGTCTTGGTAAATAATTGTTAATCTATTTTCTTTTCTTTTTTTTAAGAGGAGGAAGTAACTGAAAATCAATTGAGAACCACAGCAAGGAGATAAATTGGATTTAAGCATTCCACTAAGCTATTATATAATTTGTTTTATTTTGGCTTAGTGCATTATGAGAAATGAAATGATTGCAGCTTGTTCAGCAAACCAGTGTTAAGCAATTAATGTGATGTATCAAACAGATCGCTATAACACTGGCAGTGTTTCTAGCAGAGACGTTACTAATGCTGCTTCAGGGTTTCTGGATAGCAGTGAAATCCATCTTATTTTTTTGAGTGAATTGGCCAGTCATCAATTTCTTCACCAATTCAGTCCAAAGTTTTATCTTCCAATATCCTGACTGTTCAGAATACATATTAGTCATTTGATTTGGGTCCCTTGGATACAGCATTACAGAGCATGATAGGATAAGAATGAGATGCCTTTACATAAAGACTTTCTACTAAAGGTAAAGATACTACCTTTAGTAATCCCAGTTTAAACATATAAGTAGAGGGTAGGGTATTGGCCGAAGGGATGCAGTGCCTTAGTGGCTAAGATGCTGAGATTGTCGATCAGAAAGGTCAGCAGTTCGGCGGTTTGAAACCCTAGGTCCGCATAATGGAGTGAGCTCCCGTTACTTGTCCCAACTTCTGCCAACCTAGCAGTTTGAACACATGTAAAAAATGCAAGTAGAAAAAAAGAAACCACCTTTGGTGGGAAGGTAACAGTGTTCCGTGCACCTTCGGCATTTAGTCATGCCGGCCACATGATCACAGAGACGTCTTTGGGCAGCACTGGCTGTTCAGCTTTAAAACAGAGATGAGCACCACCCCCTAGAATCAGGAACAACTAGCAATAGCAATAGCAATAGCAGTTAGACTTATATACTGCTTCATAGGGCTTTCAGTCCTCTCTAAGCAGTTTACAGAGTCAGCATATTGCCCCCAACAACAATCCGTGTCCTCATTTCACCCACCTCAGAAGGATGGAAGGCTGAGTCAACCTTGAGCCGGTGAGATTTGAACAGCCGAACTGCAGAACTGCAGTCAGCTGAAGTAGCCTGCAGTGCTGCATTTAACCACTGCGCCACCTCGGCTCTTGTAACTAGCACCTATGGGCAAGGGGAACCTTTACCTTTACCTTATTGGCTACCCCTTTGTATGAGATGATATCGGGAATCAACGCTATTCAGAATAAATCAGGATTTTCCAAACTTGGCAACCATCAAATATCTTAAGAACTGTAGTTCCTAAAATTCTTACACATCGTGGAAACATCATGACTAGGGAAAGCTACAAAACTTTAAGTCTGGGTAGATGAGTTGATGGATCAAGTCTGGATAGATGGATAAATCAACTAATCTGGATGAACTCCTGTATATTTCCTGTGGGTGCTCAAATGAAGCTCACACTTCTTACTTGCCTCTAAGATACAAGGAAAAGATGAGTTTCGTGTCCAAATTTTCATTATTAACAATGCTCAGGAAATCAATTGTTACTGGCTTGGATGTTATTACAGAACAATAAACAGCATCCATAATCTGTGCAAGAATTAAAGCTTGTCACGATTCAGAAATGATTCGGAAGAACATAGAAGCCTGCAATGCAGCAAGGTAGAAGGACCATTGTTCAGAATTCAGCCTATAAAGAAACATCATTGATTTAAGGAATCAACTCTTTAAATCAGCAATGTCGGAAACGTCAGGCAAAAAAGACACAGCGAGTTTAAAGAGATACCACAATTTGTTCTCCTCTGCAGTTTTAAGTACTCTTTCTGAATCATTTCCAAAGCATGAACATCCCTGCAAGCTATCTTCAGGAATGTACACTTAATCTCTTCATTTATTGAGCAAACTGCAGTGGTTTCTCTTAAAATTACTTTCTAATTCCAACATTAGAGTTCATTTGCACATTGGGTCACTACGATACATCGTTTTTGTTTGACATTTGTTTAAAATGAGCCACTAGTATTTCTTCCCAGGCAACAATCAATTGTTGAATGGAAAAAATGAGATTTATAATCCAGCAAGTCTTAATTTTGGTCTGTTAAATCATTCTTCTTTGCCTTATCCTTGAGATGCAGTGTTTAGGCCATAGGCAGAGGTGGGCTAATGCCAGTTCAGACTGGTTTGAGCGAACCAGTAGTTCTGACCAGCGACTGGATCTGCCCACCCGCCCTGGCGCTATCCCATCGTATATAATTGCCATTTTTTTGATGCCACGCGCATTCGCGGAAGGAGCACGCGAGAACATAGCAAGCGGCCAAACATGCATGCGTGCTCACATTTTTTGTTCTGGGTGAACCAGTTGTTACAGTACATGATGCCCACCTAGGCCATAGTGCAAATTTAAATATTTTCCCCTTAAAACTGTTCATACTCTCAACAAAAAATAAATAAAAAGTCAACCTTGTTTAACTTATCCTTAGCAACTAGATTTTCCTGAGAATCTGCCATCTAATTGTTTTAGAGTATGAGATTGTTCTCCTTACTTGTCCTCACTTCACCCCTGTCTCAAGAAAATAACGCTTCCTTTTTCTGTATGGACATTGTGTTTTGAAACTCTATTTTTTACAAATGTCAGGATTTTGTACAAAAGGAAAGTAATAGTAGTGATTCTGTTCTTTGCTCACCTTGATGTCTTCAAATTTCTCTCTGGTCCATTATCTCAACTCATCTCACCTCTATCTAGACTGCAGCAATAAAAATCAGGCACATTGTGCTTCATGAACACAAAACTTACCACTTTACAATTCCTGTTCCAACAGTTTATTTCATATCTAACAGAGTTTTTCCTTAAAATACCTCTAGGCCTGTTCTTATTTTTTTAACCCTTGCAAAACATGTGCCTTGGACAGTCACTCCATTTGATCCGCCTATGTTAGAATCTTCTTGACCCTCTGACAATTGTACCCCTTTTCCTTACTGACATGCTTGGAATTATTCTAGATAATGTTTCCTGAAGACCATTTCTTCTATAAATTCTTCTTCAAAGCCCATCTTTCAGTAAAGCTCAAGTCATCTCCCATTTCCTACATGTCATGTCTAGTAACTAAATACTAGAGAGGGGTGTGGTGGCTCTCGCCTTCTGATCAGGAGGCTGTGAGTTCGATCCTAGGTAGAGGCAGATATTTCTCTCTCTGGGTACAATGCAGTGGTGGGTTTCAAAAACTGTTCGAACCTACTCCGTGGGTGTGGCCTCCTTTGTGGGAGTGGCTTGCCACCCATGTGCTCGGATGGGAGTGGCTTGCTGCCCATGTCACCCGATATGAAGATGCCGACGACACTTGTCAGAACCACCTTAAATTACCTCACACACAGCACTGGCATGCATAAAAATATGATGTAAACTTGTTTTTT